AAGTTTTGAAGGAACAAAATACAGGTTCCTGATTAGGTACAAATAATGTCTTTTGAAATATTTTAATGAACATATACAAAAGAATACATGTGAACATTTTTCTTGCGACTTTAGCCCTTTAATTCTCTCGTGTGCGCAGCGCTTGGGGACATCAGGAGAAACCTAACCGGAGACCGGCTCTGAGGGAGGAGACAAGTCAACCGCCAATTTTAGACAAGTTTTCTCAATTTTTAGAGCAATTATTATAATTCCTCCTAGCCTATCACTAACCCGACAATTTTCACAAATTTACGATTTGATGCTCTTAGAAGGATCTAAATGCAAAATATACTTGAATGTTCAATGTGTATGAATGTGTAGCAATGCTATGGTAGAGAAAAAAAGATCATGAAATCTTACGGCCAGTCTCATGAGTTGCATGAGCAAAGAAAGCGGCAATCTCCCGCTTAGAATCATCAGCAGAACCCACACTACCAAATTGAGAATATAAACTGAGGGCTTCAAGAAATGCAGCTCGGGTATAAAACCCCTTCCCGGCGCAACCGGCGCCAGCTTGATCAGCAATCCCATTGAAGAATGCGTCTGTCACAATATCTGCAACTGAACCACCGTTACTGCTTGGTGGTGAGAAACAAGGGCCTGCCTGGCACCCTGGGCCACAGTATTCATTGCCGCTACCACAATAACCATACTGGCTACAACATAGGTCCGCAGCACAGCCACAATTCTGACCCACAACTGATTTTGGTAAGGCTTCGGCGAGAAGGCAGACCAGAAAAATTGTTAGCAAATTCTTTCTCATACTCAAGGTCATCTTTTCAGTACAAGGAATAGATGATAAGAGTCCAAGGTGTAGAAAACAAGACTGTTTTGTGTCGTGAAAATATGGTCGAGATTGAGAGCAATTTATAGTACTGCACAGTACTAGGTTTTTGAAATGGAATTAAAGTTGGGCAAGCAATTTTCCACACAAACGTGTGGGGTATGGCTAGAGAAGACTTGGACTTGACTGCTGCATAAAGCTTAGACCAAATCATGCATCTCCGGTCTTTGTGCGTCACATATTTTATTTTGTGATTTTTTTCATGAAATGTGTGATTTTTTTTTTAACTGTTTAAAAAAAGGGTGGGATTAAGGAACAACGCCCAACGACCATGCCGATAGGCCTTCATTGGTGGGATCATGAAATGTGTGGTGCTCATACATTTAAGTTACAATAATGTTACACTGACCCAATTTTATGATTAAATTTGGAGTTCAAATGACATGCTACTATGTTATTTTGAGTATTTATTGGGGTCCAAATAACATGACATTAAATAAAAAAATTCAAGTCAGTTGTCATATCATTTGAACTTTAAATTTGATCGGTCTAGTGTTATTTTGTAGGTTAGAATATTTGGGATAAAACTTGTGCAGCATAATAGTTTCCTTAAAAATAAGCTGATTTTTATTCTTCGACTATGTATATGTGTGTCTGGTCATAAATGTCTTAAAGTCATTGTGGGTCCTACAATACTTTGCATATATTTGTAGAATTCTACTAACCTTAATGACCTTCTTACACGTTTAGATATTAAATTGAGATCATTCTCAATCAATATTTAGCTAACAACATTCAAAAATATCTTTATTGTTACACATACTATTGTGGAAGTTTGGTCTTTTGCCTGTGGATTCACGCAATATGAAACGTGAGATTGAATTTGTTATGAGTAAAATTATTAGGATTTAAAAAATTGACTTAATTTGTTGATTTAATGATACGATAATAATATAGTCTAAAAAGTTTATTTTAACTGAAACTGTTGAATTTCTTTATTGAGATTCTATCACTGGTCACATTATTATCTCAATAACATTATTTTTTTGCTATTAATGGTCGAAAAAATTCACAGAAAGATATTATCAAAATAATTCTTATATTGACCCAATACATAAAGTCTTGGTGTAGTTGGTCAAAGTTCTTATCCTTCCTAGTTAAGAATTAAAAGCCTTCTTACACGGATATTAAAAACAATAAAAGGTTTTGAGCTAACCTATCTTTTTCTTGACATTAATGACCGTTCAAATCTATCTTTCACGCAATTTGTAGGGAGTGTAATCAGTTTACACCATGGCGAGGAATAAGAAATTTTCGTCCGTTAATATTTTTTAGAAGGACCAACTTAATGGATCCTGACGGTTGGATTAAGATTTTTCTCATTAGGGTAAATTATAGTTTAATCCCCTCAACTATGACTATTTTCTCACATTATCCCTCAACTATCATGTATTGTTTTTACACCTTTAATTATGTTATTAGTTTAATATTGCCTCAATTAATAACGTTCAAAATTTAATGAAATATTATTTTATTTTACCCCGTTATGTTTTAGTTTGCCTCAACACGCTAATGATTTTCATGCAAAATATAATAAACGCATTTAGGACGATGTGAAACTAATTCAAGTAGTTGAACAAGTAATGTGAAAAATTCAATAATTGAATGACAAAGTGAAATTGAGTCCACAGTTAAAGATACCAATTTGTAATTTGCCCTTTATTCTATGCATGCCAAAAATAACGCAAATGGAGTATGTATCAATTGGTAAATGTTTGTCAAATGGAACTCTTTCTCCCCTATTTTCATTAATAGAATAATTTTTACTAATAATGATAAGAGAGGAGGGGTCTGGTGCCCATTAGTGACACCAAAAAAGAATTCGTCTTTTTTTAAAGAAAACAATTACAAAAAACAGCGCTTAATAACATTTTATTATATTAAAATTTGAAAGACCCAAAAAATTAGGGCTTTTGACATTTTGTACCCTAAAAGATTTCAAGTTTCACTTTGTATCCTCAATATATCAAAAATATTGTAATATGACTCTTCTGTTAACTTTCATTATTTTTTTCGTCATTTAAAGTCCATTAGAACTTAAGAATATATGGCAAATTCTTTCACATAATCAAGGTCATCATTTTAGTACAGGGAATAGAAGAGAAGAGTCTAAGGTGTAGAAAGCAAGAATGTTAGGTGTTTTGGAATGGAATTCAAAGTTGGGCAAGCAATTTTCCACAGGCAATAAAAACATGTGGGGTTTGGCTAGAGAATTGACTTGGACTTGGCAATAAAAAAGTAGGCTAAATTATTTCTGGTCCAACAATACCTTACATGTAGAATTTTACTGACACTCTTACACGTTTTGAAATTAAATTGAGATCGTTCTCAATCAATATTTAGCTAACAAAATTCAAAAAAATCTTTATTGTAGCACATACTATCTTGGAAGTTTGGTCTTCTGCCTGTGGCTTCACGCAATATGAAACGTGACATTGAATTTGTTATGAATAAAGTTATTAGGATCTAAAAAAATGACTTAGTTTGTTGATTTAATGTTGTAGTAGTGATGTGGTGAAACATATTTATTCTGATTGTGATTGTTACATTTCTTCATTGAGACTATCACTTGTCACATTATTATCTCAATAACATTCTTTTTTTACTATTAATGTTCGAAAAAATTCCCAAAAAGATTGTTGTAGACATTAAAAAATTAGTAAATAAAAGTCTATAAAATCAATTAGATAAATAAAATGGGATTGAACCTAAATTCCATAATCTAAATAATACAAGCCCAAATTTAATTAATAAGATTTGTTAAATTAAATTAAACTGGACCTAAATTCCATAGCCTAAATAATACAAGTCCAAATTTAATTAATAAGGCTTGTCAAATTAAATTAAATTGGACCTAAATTCCATAATCTAAATAATACAAGCCCAAATGCAATTAATCAGTATTGTTAAATTCAAATGGACTTAAATTCCATAGGCCCAAATTAAATAAACTTTCAAAAGGTAAAATGTGTTGGATTTAAATTTCATAAATTAATTAAAGTCTGCAAATTTATGGGTAGCCCACTACCTAAAGCCCATATAAGAGTAATAAGGACTCTTATATGGATAACTACTCCTAGCACTATAAATAGAGGTCTAGGTGAGAAAGCCAAGGAGAAAGGAAGATCAGCGAAGTTCTGCTCAAAATTCACTAAAGCCTTAAAGCCTTGCAAATTCATCTCCGGGAAGAAGAACACACTGTCAAGGTCTTTCTTCAAGAAATCCAAATCATCTTTGAGTCATTCCAGACGAAGAACGGTGAGGAGGTTCATCAAAAGCATCATCAAATTGAAGAGTAGGAGATACATTGATCCAGCTCTCGCTTTCATTAAAGCCACCAATAGTGCACGTGAGAAGGACGCCAAAGAGAGTCAACACTGCATTTTTTTACTTAAAGTCAATCAAATTGACTATTGTAATTTGACCTTATTTTGTGTTAATTTACATCACAAATTTTGTCGTTACAAATTTTGGCTCGCCCTGTGGGACCTTCTCTTCCTCTCATCTCTTAAGTCAACAAGCCTGACAACAATGATAACTAAAGATATCGTGATTCCTCCCACCAACAAGTTAGCGGACCTGGTCAAGGAGTCAATTCCAATAACCCGTGTCAGAAAAAAGGCGGGTAAATCTCAACTTTTGCCACCGATGGAGCATCAATCTAGGCAAAGCAAAAGGAAGGCTCTTCCAAGTAGAATGAGACAGCCTGCTCATTCTTCTATCGATTTGGAGGAAGCAATTGATGATTCTTTGCCCGACACACACTCCAGCATTGGCTCAAAGACTGAATCTTACTCCGAGATTTCTCCTAAACAGAAGTGGGGTGATTATTCCTCGGCCTCTGATACGTCTATGCTTGTGATGGTGACGGAAGCCACTTCATTTAAAGAACATCTTCAACAACTCATTGTTTCGGTCGAGAAGTTGACCAAGGCTCTTTCTTCTCAAATGTCTGTTGCCGCATTCTCTATCCAACAGCTTCAACATATGATTCCTGATACCATTCGAGCTTAGTATGGAGGAGTTCCCTAGTTTTCGTTAGTATATGCAAAGCCATATACTAGACAAATTGACGGGATACAAATGCCAATAGGCTACCAAACCCCGAAGTTTTGACAGTTTGATGGGAAAGGCAACCCAAAACAACACGTTGTTCATTTCATCGAAACATGCAATAATGCCTGTACCAACGACAACCTGATGGTGAAACAATTTGTGCGTTCCCTCAAAGGGGCTATGCTTGACTGGTACATTGATCTAACAACTGGGACTGTTGATAGTTGGGACCAACTTGAATGAGAGTTTCTCACTCATTTCTATAGCACTCGATGTATGGTAAGTCTTCCTGAACTTGTAGGAACAAAACAAAGAAAAGACGAACCTATCATTGATTACATTGAACGCTGGAGGAGCCTTGTTCTCAATTGCAAGGAACACAATAATGAAGCCTCTTTGATTGATATGTGTGTCCAAGGAATGCACTGGGGACTACTCTACAGTCTTCAAGGAAACGTGCCCCATACATTTGAAGAACTTGCAACACGAGCCCATGACTTGGAAATTCAAATTTTCAGGCACGAAAGTTACTTTCTCAGCGACCCTCGTGAAAAGAGAGACGTAAAGAAAGATGTGAAGAAAGATGTGAAAGCCTCCAAATCAAAAGTATTTTTGGCAATCTCCACTACACCGGTGAAGATTTTTGAAAAAAAGCCAAAGATAGACTTCCAAGTCAAATTTAATCAAGATCAGACTCAAAAGAAGATAAGACCAAGTTTGAAAGAACTTGAAGAGAAGAAATATCCCTTCACTGATGATGAAGTGTCAGATATTTTTGATCAGCTACTCGAGTTAAAACTTATCGAGCTTCCAACACCCAAGCGGCCAGAAGAATCGGGAAGGGTTGATAATCCAAAGTATTGTAAATATCATCG